TTCTTACTTCAAATGTAGCGTATGTTGTAAATCAAAGGATTATAATCAACCGACTCATTAGGTACGTGAGTACAGTAAAATGAGACTGTTCTTACTTCTTGAATACCCAAGGACAAGTTAGTACTAAATAGACGTAAACAAAATCATCAAAGAGATATTGTTCGCGCCAAGCAGGATCTCTCAATAGGGGCCTTTCTTACTAACGCCTGTGTAAAAAAGGGACGTAGTTACCTGCTCTTTAAAGAAATGCTTTGATCGTAGAAACTTAAGTGTAATATGAGCTCAATATTTTGTTTAATAAATTACAGTAAATTCTAATGTAAAGGGGCCTTAATTAATAACCATCACAGAATTTTACTACCGTGCCCATAAAAGTACGAATACCAAATCAGCCGTCAATGATTTCTATTATATTGATAAGTCATTGCCTTTAAGTAAGTAATGACTATTACAACATAACTAATTCATCTGTTTAAGTATCAAATGTGGGGAACCGACAGAAAAGTTACACCCGGATGTCTTGGTAACAAAACAACAAATGATATCAAACGTGTTTCGCTCATATGGAGTTCTAAAGATGACTTAAAGCACAACGCTGTAGTAAAAGTAAGTACCAAAACTCGTATAGAACACTCGAAAACTAACAACCATTAAACACTTTTTCACACATATCACAGTAGTGTTCACGACGTTAAGCAAAAGTTTGTTTATAGAGCCCGTAGTAAATTTAACGTGCACAATGCCGGTAAGGCGACCCGCATGCGTCCGCCCTCCGACGAGGCTCAGTCCACACTGGTTTGAGTTGACTGATGGTACCGTGTTGGTGACCGAGTGCATTGAATTAAACTGAGTCACGGAACCCAAGAAACCCGGATTACTGATCAAACCAGTAACACACGGTCTATTGATTGCAGACAGGATGGGGATGGGGAACTGTATTTAGGGTGAGTAACAACCACGGTAATTGTTGCAGTAACTAGGTATACAGTTGATTCGCTCCATCGACGTGACATGTGGGTTTATCCTAGCTAAGTTATTAGCAAATGTTGTATGTACATACACTTTGTACATTGATATGGTCGCTGATTAAGGCTAGAGTGTTAAAATATTTATATACATTTAGTAGAGATAACAATAATAAAGATATCCAGAATTAAGAAGGCGGTCGCGTCGCGTACGCGAGTCACTTGTTGCGCAAGTGTGGCAGACACTCCTGAGGATTTATTGGGCACGGGCTCGAGTTACACCTGATAACGTCTCGGAGCACACGCGGTGTGTTCTATATAACGTTGATATAACTTAGTAAGGTAAACAACACACAATAGGGTGCTATTATTAAAGCATAAAACCGCTACGACATAAAAATTTAAACATAAATTATAAACCAAGTAAGGTACGTTTCAATGTTGATAAATACTTGTGATGAATAAACAATCTTAGAGTAAGGAATTGCGTTAGAAGAAATGATGGCAAGAAAGTAGTATTTCTATAAACTCCTTGAGCAAGTAGTATTTCTATAAACTCCTTGTGCAGGTTCTTTATAATAAAATGATAGGTGCCAGAGGCATTTATTATAAAATTTATACTCGTAGTAGGTAATATTAGATTTCATAATTTAAAAAGTAAAATTGCAAATAGACTTCTTTTTCTCTCTCATGTCTTACAAATCCACATTATCTTTCTGGGTTTCGTAAGTCTGAATAAGAAACTGGAACTCTTATAGGATCACTAGTGCATCTGCTTATCAGTCAGCATAGCAAATTGGCTCGAAATTGACTGGATTGATTAAGTTTCAATTTGGTACACATGTCAATTGTCCTGTGGGAACAAAGCTAGAAAATTAAAGACAAAAGCCAAACATGTGAAGTCAAATAAAAGGGCATATTATTGTGTGGTTCTTAATTTGTATTTTAAGATATAAGAATCGTAGTATTGTACGTACAAACTTAAATTTGCAACTAATCGTACTGGACACATTTTTAGGTAATTGCGTATGTATTACAGTTGATAACTAACAAAATTTTCTATAGGTCTCTAGGGTCAAAGCAAAGTATTAGTTACTTCATTGTCAGTGTTAGTCGTTAAAATATTACTTTCTTTGTTCTCTACGCATCTTCTATGACAAGGAGATTAATAAAGATATTATGAAGGGGTCCAAAATTGAAGACATTATTGCAAGGCTATGCCACTTTTAACAGACCCAGCCGTTTCAGTACTAAAGAATCTGAGAAGCAGAAAAGTAGTTCAAAATTTATATTAGTAGATTTATTATATTGACATTGCTCCAAATATTATTCACTAACTACGACTGCCAACGTTTTGAAGTTGAGTCGCATTAAGTAGAGGAAATATTTTAAGAATTTTATTAGCTTATATAAGTGAAGGTGGACAAGTGTCAATACTTGTTCAGGGACACGACAAATAACACTAGTTCGTAACAGGCATTGACATTTCAAGTAAGACGTTATGTGAATAAGATAATAATAATTACCCTTTTCGCCAACACACAATAATAATTGCTTTAATTAAAAAAGTTTATAATTGACAAGTATCGTTTACAATTAATTTATTTATTAATCATGTTACGATAATTAACTTACAACACAACTTTGAATGTCCAGAAATTAAATGCTAATAGTAGGGCGAATAATTTGTAGAGACAGCGAGAATTATCTGTCCATCTAAATAATCTCGATTTTATCATATTTCTTTACCCAAAAGGTCTTGACAGAACCCTATTACTAGTCTTCGCTTTCTGTCTGATATTGTAGTATCAGTATCTCATGTGATTTATAGGTGAGTATATGTGAATACTCGTAGGTATAAAATCGTCGTTTTCAAAGAGTATATAGGTTACGATTGTCGCTAAATCTTGTACGATGGTACTGAACCTTTAGTGTGTGTGACAAACTTGCACTTAGTACTCTTTAATCGTAATGTGCAAACGACTGAGAGCAAGAGAAGTATCAGTGTGACATAAATAAAGACACACTTTAAAATAGAAATTCTCAAACTATGACTATATTTGTAATTCCTTATTCAAAATAACACATATGCTTATGTTAAATCTTTTTAGACGCAGAGTGCACTTATAATTCATACAAATTATACTCGTATAGGTATATACGGTTTTATTTAACTAGCTTTTGCCCGTGGCACCGCGTGGCATGCATGTCGGTTATAGCGGTAAAAAGTAGCATATGTCCTTCCTCGAGATTCAAAATATCTCTATGCATAATTGAATTAAAATCCGTTTAGCGGTTTAGCAGTGAAAGCGTAACAAACAGACTTTTGCATTAATGTTATTAATAGTAGGGATTGGTAAAAATGGGAGCTACATACCCAAAATTTTAACTCGACTTCCTAACACTATTTTAAGCAACAAAAGTATAAGATTACTTTCCAAATTCGCTACTTTAGTTTTCTGTTTGATCAAAAATCTGTCTGAAAGAAAACACTTTGATCAAAATAAGAAAGAAACGTTCTCAATGACACAATACCGTACTGTCTCCAAAATGTTTTTGCTTGTGTGTTTCAAAGTCAATGAGGTGGCATTGAGACGTGCAGTGTGTCTCCTTAATATACAACAATCACAACAAACTAAACAATGGAGAAACAAGAACGATGGACGTCTTCGTTTTAAATTATGTATGTCGGCAGTGCTTTATTGAGGACTAGATTGGCAACAAAAAATTAATATAATACATAAATTCTAAACTCCACTTTTTCTTTGTCGGGACAAACCGAACAGCTGTAAATATATTAATAAAGAAATTAGCAGTTACGCAAGCAATTTTATAGGAAAGAAAGTTCATTCATTAGCCGACACTTAATTTTAAATTAATAACTAGTATGATAGATATTGAAATTTGATAAATACATAAAAAAATTAGAGAACTATCTACTACAAAAAAAAAGTGTTCTGCGAAAAACATTTTTTTGAGTATACATATGTATGTATACTTAACCATTTTTGTTTTATTTTAGAGATGTATTTTATTATATTACACAAGCTAACTATTTTTTTTCCAGAAACCTGAGTATACTTCCTGGAGGACTTTGGTGCGCGAAACTTTCAAATTTTGTTGGCCTGTATTATCGCAGACCAAATTAATTCCGTAAAAAATATTATTATTTTATTTCATAGCTGCATTAACATGCGCGCGTGGTAATAACAGTTAGGGCTTCGAATGACAGAGTTGGATAGGGCTATACTTATATTTAACACAATTTAAAGATATTTTCTTCACCGCTTTCCAGAGCCAACATATTGCATGATTATTTATATATCAAGTATTCATATTATATTAAAATTTATTTTATCTTAAAATATAATTAATTTTCCTAAGGTGAGAATTTAGTATTTCATAGGGTCACGTGCAGGTTAACCATACCATTTCGTTGAAGAAAACTTCTTCTTAGTTTGGCTCTATCGAATAGTCATTATTATGGATACGATTCGGATGTAACTGTGCTGCATTTGATTGGTATGCAATGCATGAACGAAGTGCCGTGAGTGAAAATAGCTCTAAGATTACATGGACGTACATATTTACCTAAATCGTATTTCTTTATGCCAAGTTTTTAAAAGCACAGAATAATAAATAAAATTTAAAGTTTTAAAACTTCGCAGGTGTTAGCGTTAACTTCTTTATGTTTACAGCTGTGCATTTTACTATTCTCAAAAGTCACTAAATTAGATTTGACATAACCTGGACAACGTGACTTTTTACGACGAACCTATAATTCTAACGATATTTTTTTTTATTTCAACCAAAAAACTGGATCTTAAGACAACAGTAAAAGCTCATATCGTCTTAAGACTCCAGAATTAAACTTTTAAGATCTCCATAATGGACTTCATTAGTGATTTTGTTCTTCATATTTCAGTGAAGTTACTTTCTCTAATTGCCTTTTCTAGCATACTCGACTATTTTTATTTGATAAAGTCACAATCATTTAGCACTACTATCGATTTATTTCTTCCAAGTTCAACGGTGCTATTCAGCATAAGCCGTCATGTCAGCACAAGTTACAAGAGATCTACAAATTACAATCTTTGCTGACCAAGTAATTTTAGACTCAATCGGCATCTATAATCATGAGTCTGTACAGTTTATTTACATAGGTAGGATAAAACAGCAGTACATTAAAAGTTGTCGATTACGCGCGAGTCCCGATCAAGCGATAATATACACATTAACATATAGTGTTAATTTGTATATTATCGCATTTTAAAATTATACATTCTTGTCATTGTTAAAGTTTGGTGTATACAGCCAGCAACAATACAAGTGAATATATCGCCTTTGATTTAAACGTCGTATCGTTAGATAACTGCGGTAGCAGTTGGCGTTTGGCACACATTCTTAACGCCCGATATGGATAGAAACGGGCGAACCAGGCGTGGTCTCACGGCTACTCGGACCTCTGATAATATTTATTGACCCCAGACATGTGACTTTCCATCTTAATTTCTCGATATAATATATTAAGATCTTTCCTTATTACAATTTAGTACTGATTAGTAGTAATTGCTGTGTATCTTCATATTAAATTGGCAAGCGTGCCAGTTTTTTGGCGTGCCCAAAAATATCCTTTACTACATACCTACAAATGTATAAAGAATTAGGTGTAACATTCTTTACCAAATTCATCGTTACCCGTAGTGGAATATACCACCTTATTTAATAAATATATATATATATATATATATATATATATATATATATATATATATATATATATATATATATATATAGCCACAGAATAGAAGTATAAACGTAAAGTTGGGGAATCTGCAGTTAACCACAATCTTAGTTGTGAAATCTGACGACCACAAAATTGGATAGCTATATATTACATAGTGTGTGTGAGTGTACAAAACAACGATGCCATCTAAGCATCACTGAGCATATCATCACTCAGATAACTTTACAAGGTGGTAGTTGGTATTTTGTTTACGAAGGTACCTAATCGTTATCACATTTCAATAGAATAGGCGTTGGTGGCATGGTGACTGACTCGACAGGTTGTTTTTGAGGTGACAAAAACAATAGCGATCACGTTACATTCAGAGGTTTCTTTGAGTTTAGGGAAAAAATATGAAAGTTGGTATCGAGACAACATTGAAAAGATAGAAAAATTAAAGACTTCTCGAATTCTCGTTTAAAGACCAAGGGATTGGTGGGGTATTTCCTATGTGATGGATTAGTCTCCGGTCTTTAAACATGGAATGGTGATAAAATTTCGCCCGATTAGTGTGTAACTAATAACGTGAAAATGTCGCTATCAGTGATTATAAGCAGGTTGATTTATTTTCTCAAACAATACTTAGAAGTAGGTCGCCTGCCTACTCGTGCCAAAAGATTAGATCATGTTTAGTACTTTAATTAACTGTTGATAGACCTATTTCTTAGCGTTCCATGGATTCACCGTGCGGATGCCAGATGGGAGCAACACATGCGACTTCGACAGCGCCTGGAAATTGCGACCCAGGTATAGGTTTAGGGAGTACGCGTTGCAAAGCGTCAGCGCTCGCCTCCACTGTCTGCTATGTTACCCCATCTACCTAACCATATTTGATACGAGCCTAGCAACGCCGTTTTGGATATTCGTTCAAGAAAAAAGCTTACTGAAACTCTTGGCAATCCAATGCCTTTAAGCAGGTTGTAGAGGGATTTAGCTGGTATATCCCTCGCACCCACTTCCACGGCATATTACAACGCTCGTTGCGTTGTACATAACCATTTTTAGTTATTACGTTGGTCAAGTCAAAGTACTTGTTTCTTTTTTAAAACGTGGTCTTTAGGGATGCTCATTTCCCATGGCACCGTGAGTTCTACTAGTACTACACGCTTAATTGAAATTGCATAAAGAAATATGTCTGGTCTGGACAACAAGGCACAGATATCCTCCGGTATTCTTTAATGATTTTCATACGTGTCCACTAATAATGTCCAGTCACTGGCGGTACTTATAATTGAGTACGGCTTTTGTGAAGTTTTTTGTTGAGCCTTCCTTAACAAACGCGATGTTAGTTCTTACGTTTGTTGTTATTCCTTTTTTCGCTCTCGCCAGTGATAAACTTGTAGCTTCGCGTGTGATTTGTTATTACAAATCATACGCGACCCTATCATGGCGACGTGAATAATGAACCCGGTTTAATAGCGCCTTACAACCAGTTAGTAAGAGGCTGGCTGTAAAATTTTAACAGGGCAGGTGACCAATCGTATTAAAATATTTATACCAAATTCTCCTAGAGTTAACCATTTATTCTGCATTTCTAGGTTCAATGCATGCACCTTGTAGGTCTCCTTTTTATCTTGTTGTAGGCAAGATTTTGTTATGGCTTTGTCGGTCTGTCTTCTAGCATTTCCCAATCCACCTCAACTGGACTACGTACCCAACATAATTTTTTTTTGTGGAATTGGCGCCGTGAATCGAGCTCTGATGATTTTTTGTCTTTTGAAAGAGATCCAACGATGACGTCTTGTTATTTGACTACAAGACGAAATCGTTGGATCTCTTAGGTTTTGCATTGGTAACTCTTAGGTATTTGTAGAGTTTCTAAGGTATTTTTATTTTCATTCCAAAGCTATTCGAGCCCCTTTACAACGTTTACGTGTTTGCTGATGATGGTGCTAGCCCAAGCTACGACTTCAATGTCTTAGTGACTTTCGAGTTCAGTGTTATTAAGTGGTTCTGGTTTATATCATATACCAGAAACGGCCAGTTGAGATGTGATGTTGAGTAGCTGTCGTAAATCCAAGCTTTATTTACGGTACTTATTGTTTGTCTGTTTGTTGGTCTACCTTGTCAATGTCTTTTACGAAGTCATCGAATATTGCGTTCATAGATGGAGTACGACCCTTGTAGTCTATCTTTTTTCAAGGAATTTAAAGGGCACAGTTTCTGATATGTTTCCCACCAATAGTAACCCCTTGGTCATTTGAGGTATACCTAGCCAACCTAGCAAACCCTTTGTCTGGTACCTCACCGGCCCAGACAAAGGGTTTGCTAGGTTTTGTCCTCATTCCCTCCGTCCAGGTACAGAAGTCATACACCTTACGCAGTAGTTCTTGGCACTGCTTGGGGTTACGTTTGAGGATCGCAAGGTCGTCTGCGAATGCTAAGATGGATTCCGTATTTCGATTGACCTTAAACCGGTAGCCCCACCTTTTTTCGTATGTCGCTATATTTTCTATTAATATATTTTTAAACTGTACTGTAATACTACTGGTGATAACCTTAGAGCAACCCTACTCTGTATGCGAGAGGTTTTGTATGTCCCTCTTTTGCTGTGATTACAAATTTTAATTCAATTTAAACATATTTTATGAATTTAAATGCATCTTTCATGCAATCAGTTGACCAAACAGTACAACATAAGATCATATTTAATTTCGATTTCATTCGTAATGTAGCGTAAGTATATACAGATGTCATAAATACATTTCTAATAAGTAGGTAAACAGTAGCGTATCAGACAAGTAGGCATTTTGTTTTAAGAAATTTTACGCCTACCAACTAATTTACTGGATCAGAGAGAAATTTACTAGTGGTATGACGTAACAAAGTTTTAACCAAGACATCTTATATTGCAGGAACGCATTGACAAGAAAATGTCAAAATTTGATGTATATTTATGCTCTTAAGAATTGGGTCAAGATTTTCAAACATCATATAAATGAAACCACTCTAAATAATTTAACCATGATAAAGATGACACTTCACGTAGATAAAAAAGCACCTAATTTGATAAGGCTAACTATTCACACTATAAACTCAGTGAACATGACGCTGTTATGATAAAACATCATAGGAATGTTAAGCTAGTGCGTTTTAAATGTTTTTTCTAATTAAACTCACGTTATGTTAACGAACATCTTATAGTTAATTAAGAAGTTGTTTGATGTGTGGTTAAAAATTTCGTGATTTCAGGTTTATAAAAAACGAAATTAGATTATCAAAAAATGATATACTTACATTAGTTGTCAGTTGCGTAGTTAGTGTGTGCACTTTATCCTTAGCATCCGCCAGCTCTCTTCTCAATTTCCGCACCTGTACAAAAAATTCATGCTATATCTCAATTCAATTTTATTCTCAGACTTAATACAGCTGATTCTATAAGTCTATTTTAAAAATGAACAATTTGTCTTGTGGATTTAATATTAAAGCACTATAATAATTCAGGACTCGAACACATACACCAATATCGTGTACCTCATGCGCCTGCCTCTCTTCAGAGCCAGCGCCGGCTGCGAGGGACGATGCGGTCGACACCAACGAAGCTGTTGACCCGTGAACTGTGGACGAGAAAGGAAAAATTAATATTTCAGGTTAAATCACTGACAAAATCGTTGGCTAAGATTATTTTTATGCAAGTTTTATAGCATAAGAATGTCAGAAAACTTGTTTTAGGCTTTTCTTTTAACATTTTTAACAAATTTTTAACATTACGAAGGTTTTTGGACCCTACAGAATGTTCATAGTTTATATTCAACTTAAAAAAAAGAGCCGAAACGGTTATCGATTCAAACTATTTATTAACCGTCTTGCCATTGTTATGACTAGGTTTCATAAATAGCGGTGCAATGTTGCCCTGATATAAAATTAATAATACGATACGGGATAACGGGAATCGATCGAATACGATACGAGTCAGCCTCTGTGTGTCAGCCTAGGGAGTGCATCCAGGGCCTCAATTCTGCTATTTTATGTTACCGCCATGCCACTGTCATTCCCTTATCACGCTATTGAGATGCCATTAAGATGCCACTGACATCGGTCAAAATATCGGTATTCTACTAGCATAAATTCACAGTGTCAATAGACCGTCGATATAGTAATATATGTCATCAATGGTGATATTAACAACATTGCCATATCATGAAAATTAAATATATAATTTTCTTACAAATTTAAAATGTATCTTTTACCACAATATTACAAAGACGTCGACGGCATTTTTATCAGTGACAAGTCAGGCCCTTGATCTTACATAGTTAGTAGAATAAGAAAAGTGCAAAACTATTCCGACGACATTCCATCCACAGTCTATACAATACAATATTTAAGTAGCAGAATTTAGGCCCTGATCGAAATAGCAGGCGATTTAAAGATATATTTAAAAGTTAGTAATCTCTGAAGAAAACACCCCATTCGTTTTCTACAAGGAAAGCTGCTTGACTTGGTATTTCGAATACCTTATAGGTAGATATATGTATTGTAGGCCAATTCACTAAACGTCATGTAGACGTAGTCAGATCGTTTTGTGGGATCAATTTGACTACGATCACAGTTCACTATTTTCCATTGAACAATAAGATTGAATCCGATCTATATTACAGGTGTACAGTCAACGGTCATAAGTGTAATCCAGCCAATGGGTATAGGGGGTATAGGTGTGACTATGTAGTTATCAACAGCTCGGCCTATCTTTTCCGAAATCGGAAGGAGTACGTAAAGATAAATTAAAGACCTAGATGTTTCAACTGATATAATTTCATACCACTAAAGTAACAGAGGGTAAAGTGTATTGTTATATTATTTTTTTCGAAACGTTACAGAAAATATAAAAAAAAAGATATATATTTAATAAAGTTTAACTCTCCATGTTCATGTTATAAAAAAATAATATTGAAGAAAATAAACTTGTGGAAACCGAACTATTGATAAACTACTGTGATCGATTAGACAGAAATAATCCTTCACGGTGTAATTTTATCAGAGTGAAAATACGCCCAAATCGTTAGAGTGAATTTATGTTACTATTCCATATGTATGTGTGTGATGCAAGCCACATGTTTGCGGTTGCGACATTATAGCCACTGCGGTTCTATAGCGGACATCTGCTTCATATAAATGAAAGCAATGACCTGACAATACGAAATGGAACACCCCAATCAAAGTACTAAATGAACGATACTAACGAGTTGACAATATTACATTTAGAGAAAGATCTGAAATTTTTAAAAGTATCCACGAAGCCAATTAATTATAAACATAAACAGAATTTATAAGCAAAACCTTACTGTCATTTTGAGATTAACACAATTTATATTTTTTTTATCACGTAAATTTCCAATTCCTCAAAAATATAACAAGTAAAACCCTTAATAAAACAGCAGCCTAGGTGAGTCATTGCCACTAACGGGAATACGATTGTCAAGCGTACCTTTTGTGCCTTAGCCTTTAACATAAATTCTTATTACCGGCATTGATAGCATGAATAGAAACGATTTTACGTATGAATAGAAAGAATTGCGATATGCTAAAACAATGTTTTACGAGTCTTCTACAATTATGACTCATGATCTTTAATATTTTTCATGTCAAGGCACGGCATAGTTTATCTTACTTTAGAACTATTATACAATTATGTGGTTCAAGACAACAAAACATAAAATTGTTTAATTGAAACTGGTTACATTTAATAATTCGATTTATAACAAATATAAAAATTTTTTTTTTTAACCAACTTAAAAAAATGTACTTATGCATTTCTTATAAGATTCTATTTTTCATTTTATTTAAATAATGTATTAACTTCCCGTTTTGCCCCATTTAAAATAGGAGAAAAGCTCCATCCCTAAGGGTAAAAACTTAAGGGAAGGAGAACAAAGTTTATAGCAATTTATCATAATGTAGGTGCATTGAAGTCGGTGACACTTATTAAAAAAGTCATCACTCACCGTCATCATTTTTCTTCGGATAGTGGTGTGAATGTCTCGGCGTATGCATAACGTTGCCAGGCTGGTGTGTTGGGCTCAGAGCTGATCGTGGAGACGGTGATGGTGGCTCCGATACACCATAGTTTAGACCTAAGATTATAATTTTTGCTATCACGTTTGTAATTTGTTCATTGTAGAGGGTACATTTAAAGTTACGATTATGGTTAACATAAGGAATATGGAAAAGAGCATATATGTTAACATGCTTTAAAGTATATTGTGAGCAAAAAAAGGAATAATAATAAATAATTTAAGTGAAAAAATAATGATTGGTTGTCACCATGCAACCAGCCAGTAGTCACGCCAGGCCTTGCATATTTTACGTGATCGAATTGAGTTCCTGTTATTTTAATAGCAAGAATTCCCTAACTTTATAATACATTAATAAATTATGTATTTATTTTATGAAGTAGCTTAATATGTTTTGCGTTGAGAGGTTATATATAAATATCCAACTAACACAAGAGACTTAATCAAAAGTATCTCACACAGGGTCGAGGAAAGGCCATAAATTATGTAAGCATGAAACTATTTCGCCGACAAAGACGCATTGGCAACGCTGTGAATTAATAACCACGTGCGTAAGTGAATATGTGAGACATTCCTTAGTCTACTAACATATTTTACGATAGTACGGGTCGCAATGTTATCACATACACAATTAACGCCTGTTATTTTATTCTTAGCAATAACGAGGAGAAGCGATAATCAACTCAAAACCTTTTTGTTTAAAATCACAATCACTGTAATGATTAAAAGTTTTAGACTTATAAAAGTAATTAATGCTTTTAATAAGTAACCTGTTTTATAACAACTTTAAGTTTTTCTTTTATAAACAATTTCATTGAAGTCGGTTTATTTTATGCAACGTTTTTTTTTCAGCGCATCTACATCCTAACTTTATCCTGTTTTTAAACAAGAAATCTAGTACCTGTCGTGGTACACTGACGCATTGAAATACTTTATGCACTATTTTTATACATTCGATATATACAAAATAAAAAAACCTACCTTGCCCAGGGGGTCCGTACTGAACAGGTAAACAATAGTACGGCTCATAGTCGCTTTCTGAAGACCGCTGCAACATTGACGGATACAACTTCTCCGACTTGGTTGACCTGCAAGCACAATTCGCTTTTAGTTTTAAGTCAGACACGATGTGACACAATCTACGGCTAAGCACAATTACTGGTACATTGTTTAGTATTGTACACTTATGAAAAGCTTAGATTGATTCAGTAAACAATATTTTTATTTACAGGAAAATAGTATATTTCCTAAAACCTTAATACAATTAACACATTTCTACGACACGAAAAATGTCTATGATCGTATCTAGAATTTGTCTTTCTTCCCTCTATTTCCGTTCTTCAGTTAAATGAACTGAACAGATTTATACATTTCAGAGTAGTGTCTGTATTAATTTACCACGCTCATTTTAATATGATAGGAAAGCAAAATTCATTAAAACATAAAAAAACACATTGATATTGGCCAAGTCCTTATTATCTGAACATATATTAATAATTAAATTTATTCATTTTCGTCATCGTTGCTGAATCATTCGTAGCTTTTTGTAGGTACCTGGGTTCTCTGTAAAAGCCCACTTAGCGATTTTACGACAAAAGCTAGTATGTATCAAACTGTGACAGGGTAACTCTTGCTGTAACCTGAGTTTTAATAATTGGTGATAATACCTACAGCTTTTACATTTATTTTATTGGACAGGGCAAAAAAACATGAATACAAACAATGACAAGTAACAATTAAGGCAGTAAATGGTCCGTATAAGTTAATGTGACTCATACTCAAATTCGGCTATCAGTGACCATTGACTCACAAGGCTGTGATAGGTAGGGACAAAACGTTTAGCTAAAATGGCTTCGCTATATTAATATAGTTTATTTTAGAATAATAAAATATTGTAAAATGATTCATTAGCAAGTGTATTGTATAATGAAAAGTAATTGTAAAATAATAATAATAATAACGTTTATTTCTCCTCACAATAAAGACTTATTATACACAAAATAGTGAATAATACTTAGGAAAATGAAATCTGACGTGTACAATAAAATATTTCAATCAGCTGTAACGGCTCCGCTGCTTTGGGTTATGGCCAAAGTTGTAAACGTCTTTTGTTTGGTTCATAAAGAAATTAAAAACGTACTTTTCCCATGTAGGTACCTTATTAATTATTCAGTAGTTATTTTTAAGAAGAGAGAGAATCAGTTAATACATATTAATTACTCAAAGCCGCGGAACTTGCTCAATCTGATGAACGCTAAATAAATAGAGCCGTTTACACGAGAATAATACCTCAAAGCAAGTCTAATCTGAGTTTGACGGAAAAATCATATGTCTTGAATCATCAAATCCCACTATAAATGCAACAGCTCTATTAGCACCACAATTGCTGCTATTAATGTTTTACGTCCTGCGTAATGTTAGGGGTAGATTGTACGTGAAATTTTGTGCTTAACTCTAAGCGAGCCTTGGTATAAATTGGATACCGATGAATAGCATTACATAATTAATTTGCAGATTTATAAGTTACGAAAATGAATTCATTTCAACGTTGCAGTTATCTATTATTCACGAAAACGCTTACAATTGTACTAGGAGGTCTATGTTACATGAAAAATTGCATGGGACTTGCGTAAAGGAATTGCCCTCGTGTATTTTTAGTCCCGACAATAAGCCGTGCCATGTTCAAAATCATGCATAACAGTTGTAAGTGAAGCGTGCCACCTTGAAGCTAAAACATGAACAAACTTCCAATCGTGGCATACCTTGGGAAAGTCCTATCTCTGAGGTAGCTAAAATGTAACCAATAAGACTTATCATATTGCGTAGAGACGTATCATAAATAATAGATACAAATACGTAACAATTAATATGGAAGCATTAATGAATGTTGAAGGTAGGAAGGTATATAGGTAGTATGAAAGCATGACAAATGTAAGATTGAGAGATCACCGGTATTACCTTATCATACTTACCTTAAATATTGTTAAAAAGTTGGTATAAATTTTCGGAATTTTCACCATTTCGGTGATTACTTTTAAATATACTATGAAAGTATACATTTAGACACATGATGTAGCTATATGGGTTGAAGTCGAGGTGATCTAGCAATGGTGTTTTCAGAAAACTTTAAAAGTTGTACACTAAAATTGAGTCCATTAGTCTCGGCCCGGTCAAAAGACAACATTATGTCAAATATAATTACACTAGTTACACTGAGTGTAACACGTGTAACTATCATTGTTATAATGTTATTTATTGTAAACATCATATTGCCATCAATAATATAATGTCGTAACCTGTTTACGAATATGATCATTGGGTGGGATCCATATCCGTTATCAAGGTAAGTGATGCGAACTTATAAAGTAGTTTTATGTACATAATTTTACACGACCAGTGTTGTGTAAAAATAATCCAATCTTCGAACAGGTCAAAATTGATACTAAACTATAAAAAATGAATTTTATTTATAATATTTCAAGAAAGACAGCTTTTTATAATATTGTATTCTTTTCATTACAACTATACATATTCTTAAAACAAATTCATATTCTTGGTATTCATTCACTTTTGGACAGACGTTATTAATTTGCATAATTTGCAAATTGAATCGTTTCTGCACAAAACATTACGTGTAATTGGAAATACCTATGATACCTCCATCTAACAAGAACGAAACCCCTTGCACCTCTACCACAGTTTAACAAACTCTAATTGTACACCAATATAAAAGGCGACCCACCTAATACTGTTGCTCCTGTTTAACCTGGAGCCCTGTGCGTCCCGGTGCATGATGAGCTTATTGTGTGTAAGTGAGCTGCGGTGGTGTGAGTTAGGGGAAGTGTGGTTGTGCGCCTGCGCCGAGTGCAACGACGTAAGCGATTCCATCGACTCGCCCTCGGACAGGCGTCCGCTCGCCGAATATGTATTGCTGAAAGGGGAACAGTGATGACGAAATGGCCAGCTGTATTCCATAACGTCACTCAAGATAAACCAAAAATTAATTATTTTTAAAGAAAAACATTGTTTACTACAACTGGCCATTAATAGGATAGAAATAAGCATGTGAACATGAGTAGAATTTTTTGTGTGTCAGATTTTATTTATTCAACAAATTTTAAGATTGAAATTGGATTTGACTCATAGGAAGAAATGGATTTACTTAACATATATATTTGTAATAGACAAAATTAATTTTTATATTGAAACCTTTTGTAAGTATATAACAAGATCAAAATAGGACACACAAAAATGCGTACAAGTATGATGAAGGAATATAGCGATGATGAAACCAACAATAACATTTGTACAATTAGTTCACAACAAGAGCATACTAAAGTTACTGGATACCATTCATCACTCATGTCATATCAACAAAACACCCAACCACATACAACAGTAGTACTGTTAATTAAAAGTATTTACCTGTGTCTCAGCCAAGGTGCGTATGGTATACCATAGTCAGACTTCACTTCAGAATATGTTTGTGTATCAGAAAGACTACCATCACTGATTTTAATACCACCCCTAGGTGCAATCCTGCAAGTTAATACACTAAATAAGCATAGACGATGTATAGAACAACGAGTCTGCCCGGTCTACTTTATCTACTACCGCTAGTTCTATACTGGAAGTTTATAAGTAATCCAATACATGCTGAACAAGAGCATATCTCTGAAAATTCTCACGCTCGACGGTCACAAATACTGATAAGAACTGTTTGCTTACTTTTTTATATTCATGATATTGGAGTGGTATTTTTTTTTAATTTTCTTCAAATTTCGTGATCATACAAAACGTTAAATGTGAATTGTTACTAAAGATAAATCTGCGAATGGCAATATGATGCCGCAGTCTGCACATAGCAAAACACTGGACTAGTGATTACCCAATAGTTGATGATTGCTTTTAGCACAGAGACAAATTGCAAAATTATTATAATTGATTATCTAAAACATCTCTTGATGTTAGAGTCAATATCAGTTTTCTATTGCATTCCAGTCCTAATTATATTGAAATCTTGGATTATAATTTTAAACGAAATTTTTGCTAAAATTATAAAACAAAAAAAAGCAAGGAACTCATTTTTTAAGTAAAATAAATTCCTTTCATTTAATAAGAAATTAATTAATATGATTAAAAACGGACTATGAGTGCTATTTATTTAATTCTTCTTTATTGCTTTCACTCATTATTTTCATAATCTATTTTCAATTATAATAATCTCATAATTCAGTCATCTTTTGAAAACATTTCTGAGTTTCATAAAAATATGTAGTGATGTCATTAATTAGACTTGTTACAATGTATTTAAATAATAAAACAGTCATAGCAACAAATAGTCATTATACCTATTAGTCTAGTCCAGCCCTGTACCCACAACCTCAAGTTGATAGTCATGCTACATATAGACAAAGAGACACTATGTTTATCTCTTTCTAACTCCTATTAAACACCCCAGTATATAAGTTTAACTGTTTAATTGCTGATGTCAACAGTGCAATTGTCTACATTACAGCTCTTGATTTAGGTACATGTCTTAGATATCAGCTGTAGCTGTTTAATTTAATGTGAGACTTTATATGTTCTAGAACTTTTAATATTATTTTTAATCTTGAACTTAGGATTCTGTTCCTAGTCTAGGAAGCATATATTTGTAATTTGCCTACAAGAAAGTTTATTTATAAATAAGTAGATCTTTTCTTAACATTATGTGAACTGTCTGTCTTTCTTATAACTCAGACACTTTTATATTAAACTAAATATCTTTGTATGAAATTAAGAGCCCTATATCAGTTTCTATAGTAAAACTATGTATCTAACGGAAGGAACTCAAGACTGTTGAATTTCAACAGTCTTGAGTTAATATCCAATGATTTAGATCATTGGATATTTTACTAATGTAAAATTCATATTTCAATAAGCTTTACCATGTAAACAGTCAAAGCAGCATATAACCTTAGTAATTGAAAAATAATTCCCAAATAAGGGTAAAATAAAACCAAGAGCTTGTATTATAATAGGTAAGTACAACTCTATAATGTTCTATCTAAGTAATGGACCAAGGATGTATCTGTTTTTCCTCACATCTAATATTTATACCTACCTATCCCTCACCACAAATATTTTGTAAGGTAATAATTTAATGCAGTTATTGTTAGTTGTTCACACAACCAGCATACTAGCTAGCCACTAAGCCATAACAAGTCATGCTAAACAAAGAAATGCCATAGCATTTATTAGATTAGAATATAAGCATAACTTACCTGTGATGATGAAACAGTGCTGCAAACTCATGTGTTCCAGGTTTTGGTAGTGATTGAGATCCAAGTAGTCTTTCTCGAACTGAAGCTGACAGCTGTGCAGCAGCTGTACCACCCAATGAGTATGATTTAGGCCCAATCCCATTTTCTGTGCGGTTAATAGATTATTTTTTTTATAATTACTTATAGTTTCCTGAATTCCTTTAAATTAGCTAACTGATTTTAAATAACATTGAATTATTATTATCACATAGTTCAGATACAAAACAACCAGTAGGATGGTTCTTAGAATATGCATTATTTTTCTATTTATTTGTAGTTTATTCCAGGTAGGTAAGTCATCTAACTAAATATAAAAAAACAGGCCTATAGGTCAGTGTATAACACAAAAAATGACAATCTTGAAAACAACCACGTTGGAAATCTCTTTTGCCTTCTGCCATCTAGAATTAGTGTCAATCCGAAAAACGCTTGAAACTAGCATAAGATAAAGTAGGTACACTAGGTAATTTAGGTCTTATGAAGTTAAGATACTGCTCAAGTTAGCTGCAGTTTTCTTTGTAAGTTTTATTTCGAGATCGTGGTTCAGTTTTCACTCATATTAAGTACTTAGTAGATAGTTAGAACAGAATACAACATTTAGAATTTATTTAAGAGATAATCTGACTAACTGTGAATCTGAAGATCCTGTGTACACGTTTGTGTTCCTCCCGAGACTTTAACTTTAGTTCTTGGCACTGCAGAAACTTGAGCCGTCCTTCCACCTAAAATAAAAATAAAACTGATAAACAGTTGAAAACAATAACAAAAACATTTGAAATAGGGAATTATTTAAACTATAGGATTGCCAACCTTGGCTCTTATTTTGTACGTAAGGCCCCGTCCGCACAGCGATATTTTACGGCACGTTTTTTTTCGCAAAATTCTGTGACACATGGGATCTATATAGAACTATCCGCACTGGCGGAAAAAAATCGCACGCAAAAAATGATTTGATACAAATTGAACGCGATACGGTGAAATATCGGTGTGCGGACGGGCCCTTAATCAACTTGAAATCTCGTATGGGTTTCAAAACTCATCCATTCATAAAGCATTGAAAGTGTTATAAAATAAAAATTAAGACATTAAATGAGTGTAAACTAAGAAACATTTGTTAACTATTAAGTATTGATATAATTAAAACAAAAAATGCAGATTTTAAAAATTAAAATTATGTACCTTTATTCGATTTAAGGATGAAATAATGAACTAAATGTAACTTTAGGGATATTATTTTAAACACATGAAGCGTTTAATTTTTTTTTTTTGTAAAGTTTTTAAGTCTCGGCTTGTACGAGTCTGACCGTGCCCTCGTACAGCGAACCTTCAGCAGCAGGCCATAAACCTCGTATATCGAATAACTTATACTCGTATATCACCGTATAACGTATATATAGCCGAAGAACTTCGTACGGTTGGCAACCCTGATTAACTGCCACATACGAAAGTAGCCGCTAATGTGACCAAACTTAATTTTTTACTAGGTTTAGCACGTTTTGCGAATACTCTTGTAATCACACTACTCCTGTGCTCTTGTGATTACAAAATCTATCAGCACCATTTCCTCCTCAGCCTTAATGCCACGATGCAGTACGTAAACCAACCGTAAATCCCAAGGATCCCATTGGATCATAGACAAAATAAGTTATGATCTAGAGCAGAAGGCTATCCACGCGTACGTGGCATGCGTGCACCAGAGTCACCTCGCAATACTGCGCGGGGTATTTCTCTAGTCGGTGGAGAGTAGTTTCCCTGCGATATCCCTCTGTCACATCCTAGTGATGTCACAGAGGCGTTAGCTCCATACATATTCGACATACTATTACAGAAATACCTATATCTACCTATTTTTAAGTATGTCCCAACACCTTATTTGAATTTGATTGATTACTGAAAGTAAAGTTATAAGCTGAGCGTATTTTAGATGAATGTCACACGTGTATCAGTAATTAGTCAAAATTTAGACAAAAAATCACCGTGTTGTGGGGGTCCATTAGATTGCGGTGAAGGCTGCTGCACGCCGTTTTGACGTTTTACATAACCAAAGCTTTGTGGCACTTTTGCCTTTCCTGATGAACAGCTGCTACCATTGCCTCCACTTGATACGCTCGACGGCCGAGAAGATCCACCGCCGGGTGATTGTAACTACAAAACAGTAAATAAATTATAACCCAGAAATCAAAGTGGGTAAATTAAAGGAAGGTAAAACTAGTCATAAAAATGTATCTACCTGTGATCCTCCACTTCTTGAAGGGTGTTGGCCCGATGAATTAGATGCAGCATACTGTAAAAATATTTAATTTTGCTATTAAATTTACCAGTAATCATAAACTGGTCTGCTTCACAAAGGGAGGATGTCTGACCAAGCAAGGTGATCATGCTTTACGGACTCTAATTGGCAGCAAGGCAAGTAGTAGAAGTATATAATGATTACTAGAGGCGTAAGAACTTTCACATCGCAATTCAGAATTAGTTAATGTATCTAGATCGATTAGCCTTCATTAGATGGTGCGAAATTATGTTTCTGCTATGTGTAGAAGTTACCACACCACCATTAAGAATGATCAGAAATTATTAAGACTAACGACAATACCTGAGGATGTGGTGCGATACCGAGCTGCTGCGCTGCGGTCAGCTTCTCCCGCTTATGGTGTTGCGGTGAGTGATGTCCAGTACGTCGTTCTCCCTTACGTCCATGCGAAGGACTCGGCGGTCCTGGCACTGGTTGATTCTGGAATACCAATAAAAAATCCCTTCACAATACGGCACACATTTTTCTCACATACATGGAAATGTGTATTAATTTTTATATTATTTTGTTAGTCATTTTGAAATAAGTATGTATTCATAATTTAACAAATTACATAGGTATAACAAAAATGTTAAATACAATAGAATATATAAATATAGCATAGAATGTTTATAATATTTTTTTAACACATTAAATATTTAACACATTATTTTTTATAAGAAAGGACATTCGATCTGACCCCCTAACACTCTATCGCTATCACATTCTTTATCAAAATGTAGCATGCCAATTAGCACACGTCTACTGAACAGTCTAAAGTAACGGAAGTATTGCCTTAACGAGATACGGACATAACTATTTGCATCATAGTCTACTTAAGCTACCATCGATATATCCATAGAAATCGTAATAAAAAGCACTAGAAGTCGCATAGACGCTTGACCTTGTCGCCGCAATGATGTGTAGACGAAGACCACTTACATAAAATCACACCATTCGTGATTTACTTAGTCGCGTCGTATGTGAATTTATATTGTTAAAATGGTGAACTGCAGCAAAATGGTTTGTGAAAACGCATCAGGGACGTGTAATTCAACTAATAAAGACATAACATTTCATCGGTAGGTTGATACTAATTTACATCTCGATGAATACTTTAATGAGATATTTAGTTCACTTATTACTTTCCGTTTTGTACAATTACCATTGTTGTTTTTGTTGTTATTGCAAGCAAATTTGACAAACTCGCCAAGCAATGTAATGTGAAATATTAGATATCGTTCTGCAATGCGTATGTTTAAAATACGGCAGCAGGCATCGGTCGCTGGTTAGTGATGTAACCGTAAAATTCATTTGAATGAAAGTAGAGTTTATATCGTTGTTAGTATAAAGAGATATTTTTCAGATTTTCAAACGTAAAAAAAACTACACGATATTTGCAAGTAAAATATTCTTAATAATAATTATATAATAATTTCATTAATGGAAAGGAAAAAAGGAAATAATCGGGAACTAATTCATTTTTAGTGTCTTAATATTACGATTTCTGTGGATATGGATATATATATATATATATATCTAAAAGTCCACAAAGATTACAGACGAAACACTGCACGTTTTTTATAGTTAAACATCTTCGTCCAGATTAACTTACCAAAGGCGGTGCTCCAACACCAGGTGAGTCTGTATACTTCTTCCACGTGGTATCTTGACGTGGTGGCTGACGATCTGTCTGTTGACCACAGTCAGCTTTGCTACGAGTCCGGCCCACGACGCGGTACACCACGCCACTACCGCCCTCCATCCCTCTACGAACGCCGCGTCTGTTAAAATTAAATTTAAAATAAATGTTTTTGAGATACATTTAATGTAAATGTTTTAGATACATTTTATAATGAGTCCTACCATTTATCTTTATAACGGTACAGGGGACAATTTTTTTGAAATGGTTGTATTTAGATAGATCGATAGATTTATTAGTTCATAAACCTTGATTGCACAATAAATATTGTGATTTTCCATTAGAGTACTTACAAAAAGATAGCCAGCTAAATCATGTCAATATTTGATGATTTGCTACAGGTCATATCATTAATCATATCCATCCATATCAATCCATAATATACCTAAAAGGTTTAATAAAAATTCTAAATAAACAAGTACGAGCTTAAATACTCGTACCTACTTATAGGTTAATAAAATATAATATACAATCTGTGATGAAGCTTATCACAAAAAATGAAATAACAGATAACATGGTACAATATACGTCGGTTAAGATTTAAAAAAAAAATGTGCGGAAATACAGAAATGCAAGAACAAAATAAATACAAAAAAAATTGTCGAATTAGAACACCATTGTTAACATGAGTCGGTGAACTGTACACGGTAGCTTCGCAATGTCGGCGACATCAAAGCGACGCCGCCGCCCCGACGTGTCATCACTTCACTTGCTTTTTAAAATCAATTTATTAAAAATACGATTTTATTCACGTGTTTATTGAAGAAATGCTCCGTGTCACTCCTTGAAAAAGTAGGTACTTTGGTTGTCTCGTAATCTTACAAAGATTCCCGCCCTTACAAAAATTCGGCAGTCTGTAGGACATACACGATTGATTCCATACCTCGGTACGGTGCGTTTTGATAGAGTTCCCAGTAAATTAACATCATGTCAGGCTATTCCGCGGCTCTGAAGGTCATTCGCGGTATTATGGATGTCGATACCGATAACTCAATAAAATTAAAAGACTGATAATGCACTCAGTTTTACACACACAAACTGATGGTCTCACTTTTCAATATAAATTTAGCGGGACTCGTCACAACACGAAGTCTTGCCCACACGATAACATTAATTGTTCACACCAGTGCCGGGTATTATGTTCATGACGAACGCAATAAGACTAAACAATAATTAACACAACAAAACTTTTCTAAACACATATCTTACGAACAGCAACAATATTATTATTACGATAATTTGTCCTTTCCAAAAATCTAAGAAAAGAAAAATCGTTTCATATATGATTTCTATTTACAAGATTCCATTCAGATATCGACCCAGTTGAAGTAATTTTAATTTGAATGGACCCCCAAGGCAGATATTTCCATTGTACATCAATAAATAACCGTAATAACCTTTGAAAATGTAGAAGATGAGAATGGCATCCTGGAGGGTAGGATTACGAAAAATATCTGCGCAGTCTGTTTTTTACGTCCAGAGGGACGCAACACATCTATATGTATATTTATTATACCTATAATATAGGCAAAAGTCCTAATGTTTATTAAATGCAGTGAAGGGTTCACCGCCCCCCATGAATGAGTCTTGATAAAAAGCTTTGACGTACATATACATAGTATTTCAAGATATTCATGGCAATTTATAATACTACCCTTTTGAACTTAATATTTTGAAATCTTATACGTACAGGGCCTGGATATAAAATGAAAAGACTCTCAAAAGAGTGAAGTTAAAACTTTCAATTTTCAAAAATTATCATACAATATTGATTCAGTATGCGCAAAGAAATAAGGGATTTATATAAAATTATAGAACTAGTCTTTATCAATCATGTGTTAAAGAAAACTCTAAAAAATTATTGTTAACATCCCGTATCCAGCTTTCCAATTGCTTCCCATTTTAATTGTTATCACTCGTTATTCAGCTCCGCTGTAATCCCTAGACGCCAACTTTTAAATCTGATTTACAGATCTTACACTTTATAAGCAATTTGTTTTCTTTTCATTTGTCGCACAAAGCCCTCATTACTGTACATTCCTTACGAGAGCTCTCCGACCCCACTTTCTTTGCCTCTAGAAAGCCTTTAATCTCTCGAACATAATACTATGTACGCCCGCCGGTCAGGATAAACGTGCGTAATCTCTAACCTTAGATTTTCGCGGTAACTATTTTTTTTTAATAAAAAAAACAATTAGACGGGTACTATTTTGAATTCAATTATTGTCTTGTAGTAACTAATTTGATTTGAGTAATTATGACTAATCTTGAAAAACTTGATAACTAAAATAAAATTGGATAACTTTTGAGAACGATAGTGCTTGTTAATCACGCGACGATTATAAATGATTCGAATTCAAGAAACCAAATATTTTTAAAAGGAAAAAGGTCTTAAAAGATTGACGTCTGACATTCTACTTTATTAAGGTAATTTGTACTAATAAACACGACCATCATCTTAGATGACGGATTTTTCTTTTTTCGGAAGATTTTCCTCAATTTCTAAAATACAATTAAATAAGTTAAGCTTAAGTTAGAAGATACCCTTTTAATCCAATTTTACTATCGGAATAGAAAATAGTACATACATAGTACCTTAAATTAGTAAGTTCTTAGTAAGTTCACATACAATTACAACGGGTTACAAGAAAAGTCGTGCTAGATCCGTTAAGGGCGTGGAGTACCCATCATTTCTGACATATTTCACTATGAAACACCCTACCCTAAACTTAACCCTTTTCGAGATAATCGTCTTTAAATTTTTTTATTGAAATTTGCTGATTTTTAGGCTACTACATTTATTTTTGTTTATTTTGTGTATCTTATTATTATTATTTTTGCATTTTTACATGTGTAATAAAATGCTTTAGGACGTCAGTCATTAAAATAGTTCATAAGTTAATTGAATAGATCGTAGTAGACAAGTGAAAGTAAAGAAATAAAAAAAAATATTAGAAAATTATTTTTCTCTAACGGATATCTAAAAACAATATTATAGTAATTGTTCGGCAGATGTTTTTTAAAATATCTACGTTTCATCAGCTATCTAACGAGGTATAACAATCTAAGGTTTTATTAAAATGCATTGAAAAAACTTCAGTTTCATAGGCGACAGTGGAGAAGAAAATTTATACTTAGCCCAAAAAAGTAAAATAAAACAATAGTTAAGCATGAAATGTCATTTATTAAAGGTTTTCACACAACTTTTTCTTATTCTACAGTTCATGTTCAACATGGCCGCCTCTATTTCTGATACATTGTCGCATCCTTCTACGGAGATCAGTCTTCACTACTCCAGTGGTCAACGTGGTCCTCATTTTATTTGCTGCATCCTTCCTTTCTGCTTTCCTTCCAATCCTTTCTCGTAAGTCTTCCACAGACGAAACTGGATTCGGCTCGCTGTACACAAGACTTTTCATGCACCCCCACACATGAAAATCCATGGGGGTTAGGTCCGGACTTCTTGCTGGCCATGGCAACGGCCCACCTCGTCCTATCCATTTGTTTGGATAATTTTGTGTCCAGCCAGTCCCTGACACTTCTCCTGAAATGGGCAGGGCAGCCATCGTGTTGGAACCACATGTCCCTGATCAGGTTGAGTGGCAGATCATCCAGCAAATCACTCAAGTCTGCTCTCAGGAAATTTTCGTAGCTTTCCCCATTTAGATTATCCGGGAGAAAGTAAGGTCCAATCAAATGATTAGGGATAATGCCCATCCACACATTCACGCTGAATCTTCGTTGGGACCCCTTCACTCTTTTCTTATTGGGATTCCTTAGTTCTTTTGGGGCCCAGTAATGGGCGTTGTGATAGTTAGTTATGCCATCTTTATCAAATTTGGACTCATCCGTCCACAAGATATTTCTTAGAAAATCTGGGTCTTCTACGTCAGCATTTAGCATAAATCTGCAAAAGTCCAATCTTCTCGCGGGGTCTCCTTCTTCAATAACGTGTACCGGCGTGTAATGGTACGGGTATAGGCCAGCAGTATGCACTGTAAACCACACTCTCCATTGCGAAAGTCCCAGATCACGGGCAACAATATTAGTGGTAGTAGTCGGATCCGCTCGAAAGCGTTGCACTATCTCATTGTCCTGTTCTTCGTCGTCAATTCGTGGTCTTCCCATGTCTGTATTTCGTCTCAAAACAGAGCCAGTTTCTCGAAGTCTTCGATAAACTCTGTCAAAAACGGCTACATCCGGCACTCGACGACCAGGGTAGCGAGTTATGTATTCGTTGCGAGCTTGCGCAGACACACAATCGCAGTATCCGTAACAAATAAGCATATCAGCATATTCCTCAGGTGTGTAGGACGTCATCTTCAACACTTCCGTATCACAGGTACAAATCAGAGTCCGGTTAACAAGCACAGTAGTCACAAATCAGAAGAAATAGTCCAGAATCACGGCCAAGTCGAGAAAAAGAGCAAAACGATATCACATCTACTATGTACGAAGCACAAAAGCAGACTGACAACTAGTGACAACCAAACAATGCCCCCTGTTGTATTCCCAGCCCTAACCGGTCTCTACACATTTTTTCTTTCATTCGCACCTACATAAATCGTCACTTGTCTCGCTCGCTTGGTGCGTCTTAACTTGAAGGACAATAGGCGCGGGACCGTTAGAACTGTTACCTGGAGCGTCCCAACTACTTTTTTTCCACGAAATGTAATACAAACCCTAGATTGTTATACCTCGTTAGATAGCTGATGAAACGTAGATATTTTAAAAAAACATCTGCCGAACAATTACCATAATATTGTTTTTAGATATCCGTTAGAGAAAAATAATTTTCTAATATTTTTTTTTTATTTCTTTACTTTCACTTGTCTACTACGATCTATTCAATTAACTTATGAACTATTTTAATGACTGACGTCCTAAAGCATCTTATTACACATGTAAAAATGCAAAAATAATAATAATAAGATACACAAAATAAACAAAAATAAATGTAGTAGCCTAAAAATCAGCAAATTTCAATAAAAAAATTTAAAGACGATTATCTCGAAAAGGGTTAAGTTTAGGGTAGGGTGTTTCATAGTGAAATATGTCAGAAATGATGGGTACTCCACGCCC